GTGTTATATTACAAGTAGCTCGCAGTTATCTTTTGAAGGAAACTAAAATCTTGACAATGAAGAGGACCTGGATCTATTTTTAGCATAGCAAAAGAGAGAAACCAGAGAGAATGAATTCTAATACTCAAGTTTTGGGGGGGAAGAAAAGACTTTATTCTTGGCAGGGGTTTTAGAGCTTTACCTTAATTATCTCATTTAACCCTCACAATTCTCAAATCGTTTCAATATCACATTTTACAGATAAGAACTGAAGCTTGGCAAGATTAAGAAGTTGCTCAGCTTCACATAGCCAGAACATGACTCTCGGGAGTAGAGGCTAGCAAAGTGGGGTGCAAGAGGTCATCCAAATTTCTTGAAATATCTTTTTACCTTATCATATGTTAGATTGGCACTTTTTTATCGTTTTCTTCCCAGCTTTATTAAGGTTATTTGACAAAAATTATATATATTCAAGGTGTACAATGTGATGATTGGATATAATTATACATTGTGTAATGATTACCAAAATCAAATTAATTAAAACATCCTTCACTAGACTTATTTATGTACTAGTTTGGTGGGGGGCACTTAAATTCGTCTTAGCAAGCTTCAAGTAAACAATACAGAATTATTAGCTATAGTCAATATGTTGTACATTCATTCCCCAGAACTTGTCTTAAAGCTGAAAATTTGTATCATTTGAGAGAGAAGTTTTAGTGTTACTGAAAACACAGACTTCTGACAGAATTTGCAGGATGCTATACACAACTACACAGAAGTGCAGACAATAGTTTCTTGGACCAGGAGTCAAAAAGGACAGTTTTAATACATTAGTCAAGCAGACAGGGCTATACTTCATAAATATGCATTATCTGGGGATAAGTGTTTAAAAATTCTTTACTCATATAATATAAAACAGGCTTGGGGATCAGTCTTGAAGCATGAATTTTTACCCAGTGGGCCATGTTGAGGGGGTTGCAGTACAGGCCCAGAAAGGAAAGCTGGCTGGGGCTCTGAGGGCTGGTGAGAGGACACTGGGCTGATAGGGCTTCACTAGGTGGAGGGCCCCAGGGGTACCCCCTACACAACCTGCCTTGGCTTCTAGTCCAATTTGGTGTATCTCACACTGCACTGCACTGCACAGCCCTGCCCCACCCTGGTGTCTGCAGGCATTCAGAAAGCCTCACACTTCTCCAGTGAACACTGCCAGGATAGCCCTCTCAACTTCCACCCAGCCACCTTCTGCCCATTTGTTTTCTTCAATTCCACCACTAGCCATCCTACCCTGTCCCTTAGCCTGACAAGACCCAAGTGTCTCCATCCTACGCTGCAGGGCAGTTAAGCAGGATCAGATGCCAGTGCCAGTGGCCTGCTCTGAGCTTTGGCCTCTCTCTGCAGTTGTCTCTAATAGAACAAATACAGTCACTGTGGAGTTGAGCTCAAAATATTCAGAGCTCAGGTTTCAGAGTCTGGCCTGGGTTTGACACCTGCCTCTTAGAAACTCTACTTCTGGCTAGGCACGGTGGCTCACGCCTGTAATCCTTGTACTTTGGGAGGCCGAGGTGGGTAGATCATGAGGTCAGGAGTTCAAGACCAGCCTGGCCAACATAGTGAAACCCCATCTCTACTAAAAATACAGAAAGTAGCCAGGCATGGTGGCACACACCTGTAGTCCCAGCTACTCAGGAGGCTGAGGCAGGAGAATCGCTTGAACCTGGGAGGCAGAGGTTGTAGGGAGCCGAGATCATGCCACTGCACTCCAGTGTGGGCAACAGAGTGAGACTCCGTCTCAAAAAAAAAAAAAAGCTCTGCTTCCTTCTGGAAGTTACCTAGCCTCTGTGAGGCTGTTCTGTCACCTGTAAAATGGGGATAATTTTATTTATCTTAATTATCCCCATTTTACAGACTAGGAAAACAAGCATTGGAAGTGCCAATACTAAACTGAGGTGAGCACACAAAATAAGCAGTTTTTTTTCTCTTCACAGTTGGAAACACTGCCATTTGCCTTAAAAATAAGTGCGTAAAAAAAAGTGTTTTTTCTTTTTTTTTGGGGTTTTTTTTTTTGAGACGGAGTCTCGCTCTGTCTCCCAGGCTGGAGTGCAATGGCGGGATCTCGGCTCACTGCAAGCTCCGCCTCCCGAGTTCACACCATTCTCCTGTCTCAGCCTCCCAAGTAGCTGGGACTACAAGCACCCGCCACCATATCCAGCTAATTTTTTGTATTTTTTAGTAGAGACAGGGTTTCACCATGTTAGCCAGGATGGTCTCAATCTCCTGAGCTAGTGATCCGCCCGCGTCGGCCTCCCAAAGTGCTGGGATTACAGGCGTGCGCCACTGTGCCCGGCCAAAAAAAATTTTTAATAGGAATAAAGCCAAGTAGTCTTAACCACCACTGCCCTAAATGTAAGCAGAGGCACCATTTTCTGCAGTGTGCATCAGGCACATACCCCAGGTATACAAAGAAGGAAATAGATGATGTTAGAATGAAAGTGTTGCCATCATTAAAGCTTTCAGTTGGCCAAGTCAACTGCCCTTCATACTTGCTCCCAACACTCACCTCGCTCCTCCACTTACTCATCACGACACAGACGTACATTCAGTACCTACCTATATGTTCGTCCACAGGTCTAATGACAACATGGCTGCATTTCACGTACTTGACCCATGAAAGCAGGAGGCGTGCCCTCATGCACGAACCACTTTCCTTTTTTAACACAATCACAAAACTTTTCCACCTAGATTTTACTCGTGGCTGTGAAACTGAATCCACATGTTCTTGGCACTTTGACTCACCTACCCTGGCTTTAAGCAAGACCCTTTCCCTATCTTATTACCTATAGATGTTACCCCTAGTGTCCTAATAGGGTTTGATCTACGATGGAGGATTTTAACAGATTTTATTAACCATGTGTCACATGCTAGGGCCTGTGGAGCAAGACTCAGTTAACTATATGTAAGCTCCCATCCTGACACACTTTATGAAATGAGAAAGGAGCTGAGAGATACTTCAAGAGAAGGGTAGGAAACTGAATAATGCCTTGTCATCAAAGGGCAGGAAGTACCTTAGCTGGGTTATCCCAATCTGGCATCTGGTCCTCAGTCTTTGCAAGTTCAGAAACTCAGGTCATCATTTCTTAGGTGGAGTCTGGGAGATTGCCTCACATCAATCAAACTCACGAGAGATTCAGTAGTAAGCCAGAGTGCCATTTTTTTCCCTTCACAGTGGAGAATGAACCTGATACTGCAGTTTATCTTAACAGAGCACACCTACACTATGGGGAAGTCTAGAGACCAAATGATAGATCAGAGGGTTGTCTGGTAAACTTAGATTCCCAAGCCAGCTGGAAACATATCTAGAGATAATCTCTTAGGGTAGAATAGTTGCCTGTGAGAAGTTTGCTCAAAGTACTGAAGCTTTATAGTTTGAATGAGTCATCTGCTAACCTGAGTCTCCAAACACCTTACTCTCGCCCTCACTTACAGAAAATTAGAGATACAGGTATGGAAGTTAGTCCCACATGATAGTAAGATGCCAAAGAATCTGATACGGGGAGATGTCTGAAAGCAGAACTCTCAGAAACAAATTTAATAACAAGGGAGGAGGCAAAGTGTGCAAATAAGAAAGATTCAAAGTGAAGGGAAAGCCAAAGGTATAGTATCTGGAGAGCCAAGAGAAGGGTTAAGAAGAGATAGTCCACTATCAAAAGTGACCGAAAGAGATAACCTTTTCCAACTGGAAAATCACTTGTGACCTATGAGAATAGTTTAACAGAGCAATGAGAGTAGATGTCTGATTGCTAAGTCATCTCTAACTCATTCTTCAGAGTTAAGTTTGCAGCAGGCTGGGCACAGTGGCTCATGCCTGTAATCCTAGCACTTTGGGAGGCTGAGGCGGGCAGATTGCCCGAGCTCAGGAGTTCGAGACCGGCCTGGGCAACACAGTGAAACCCTGTCTCTACTAAAATACAAAAAAAATTAGCTGGGCGTAGTGGTGTGCGCATGTAGTCCTAGCTACTCGGGAGGCTGAGGCAGAAGAATTGCTTGAACCTGGGAGGCAGAGGTTGCAGTGAGCCGAGATCACACCACTGCACTCCAGCCTGGGCAACAGAGCAAGACTGTCGCTACAAAAAAAAAACAAAAAAAACCCAGAAGTTTGCAACACAAAGGAGTAAGGTTTGTGATAACATCTTAATCAATGAACTGGTCTTTATTGCACAAATACCCTGCAGTCTGCACCACAGGAGTCACCTTTTGTTTATGAGAGGCAGGAGACTACAGTGCAAAGAGCACTGGCTGGGAAGTCCAGGGCCCGAGCAGCAGAGTGCTCACTGGTCCTTAACTTTCAGAACAACTGCAGATAGCCTCCTGTCTCTGAATGAATGTGTTTCAACATTTGTAACTGAGAGTGGGGCTAACTGATCAGACACTCCCACTGGCTCTAACCTCACAGCTCTAGCATTTGCAGTTCCCTCTGCCAGGAAATCTGTTTCCCCAGCTACCCAGGTCACAGCTCACTCCCTGACCTCCTCAGCTTTGCCCAAATGTCAAATTATCACCTTCTTGTTCAGAAGATCTTCCCTACTCCCGCTTTCCTTGCACAACCCAGCCCCTTCCCTGCTTTACATTCCTCCATGACACTAGTCACCATCTGATGTACTGTTTTCCTCATCTGTTTACTGTCGTTTTTCCCACTAGACTTTAAGTTCCATGAAAGAGATTTATTTTGTCCTCTGTTCTGTTGTGTGCTTGGCATAAAGTAGATAAGCAAGCATCTGTTGAAGGAATGAATTAAATGCCAGCTGCAATCCCCAAATTACAGTGGATACACGGGAAAATTTTCTTTGGGAGGCTGAATTCTAACAGCATATCAACAAGGATAGGGTCAATACAGAGGCCAGTGCTGTTTGAAAGTCATCATTTCAATGGTAACTCCTTCACTTGTGCTGGACTTGGTCTCCCCTCAGGAGACTCCTTTCCTGTTGAAAGTCAGTATTTTATATACTCGAAACCAACAACCAAACTCCAGGTGTAACTTTATTCCACCTTCTCCAACTTCAGAGTTCTGACCTTAGAGGACAGAGCATTAAGTGGAGGGAGGGTAAGGACTTGCTATGAAAAAAGTGATAATGACATACCCCTGGTTCATTTCTGGGTTTCCTCCTAGGCCAATTCAAAACTTCCAAAATAAGGTCAAGTAACACAGTAGGCTCATATTTACATCACAAGCTGTTTAGAAAGTGTGCATAGATCTCTGACTCAGACCAGATGTCCTCCCCACCATGGGCAAGGGCTGGTGGGGAGGACACTCCCAGCCTTCTTCTGATACTAATAAATAACCTACAGAAAGAGCAGCACTGGACGCTGGCCCTTGAGCCCCCCACTGCTACCGTTGTGAAGCCAGGCCTGCCTCATAGCCCTCTGTCTTCATGTCATTGAGCCCTAGCTCCTCATTTTGGTCAAAGGTGCGCTTGTAACGCTCCACCTTCATCTCAGGATCATCTTCAGGTGCATACACATTCTGCAAGGTCAAGGACAGACAATCAGTGCCACCGTGCCACTCCCCCTCCCTGCAGGCAGCTTCCAATTCCCACTTTCCCAAGAACATCGTGAGTTTTGGGTTTTTCTTCTTATTTTTATTGGCCTCCAATTTCCCACGGCTAGACTGAACTAGTGGGAGCAACAGAGCCCACATGCGCCAGGGGTGGAAGACCCCAGCCCCAGAATCAGGGAACGATCCACCTATTTTGTAATATCTGCACCTTCTTATAAAAAATATAGCAATGGTCTTAATCTTGGAAAGAACTTAGAAGTTTTGCCTGACCCATGGTAAGCATTCAATCGATGTTAAAGGCACATCAATCACCGGACTATCTCCTCAGTCAACTTAAAGCCTCTCAGTTTCCTATCTTGGCCTCTGGACGAGGCACCATTTCTCCTCACTCCATAATCAGATGTGCAAAATGAAAACTCCAGAACTGGGACAAGACCTAGAATACAGAAAAAAAGGAGCCTCAGAGTATCCTTTTCTTCCCTTTTTTTTTTGAGACGGAGTCTCGCTCTGTCACCCAGGCTGGAGTGCAGTGGCCGGATCTCAGCTCACTGCAAGCTCTGCCTCCTGGGTTTACGCCATTCTTCTGCCTCAGCCTCCCGAGTAGCTGGGACTACAGGCACCCACCACCTCGCCCGGCTAGTTTTTTGTATTTTTTTTTTTAGTAGAGAGGGGGTTTCACTGTGTTAGCCAGGATGGTCTCGATCTCCTGACCTCGTGATCCACCCGTCTCGGCCTCCCAAAGTGCTGGGATTACAGGCTTGAGCCACCACGCCTGGCCCTTTTTTTCCTTCTTTACATACACTTAAAAAAAAAAAAAATCCTCTCCCCCACCCCGCTCTTTTCTCCCTTATGTATCTTCTAACTTCGCCTCCTTGGTAAAAAGCAGTCCATTTAGAACCGAGTCTTTCAGTTTCTAGGGAAATGATACATATTCAAGGAAGATCAGAAAATGTATCTCTATGAAACATCAGGGAAGGTCTACTATACCTGCAAGTAACTGTTTCCTGCTGGATCATCCATAATAAAGTGGGTCTTCATGTTACCTTCGATGATCTAAAGGAGAGAGAGAACACAGCAAGTAAATTTTACATAACCTCTGGTAAAAAGGGGCTATGTCTGCCAGACAAGAGCCAACCCAATTTATATTACAGAATCCCCGAAAGTTTTAAGAATTGGTGAAATTAGGTAGCTCTGAAAGTAGAGGGGAAAGGATCTAAAACAAGGACTGTTAGAAAAGCCAACATCAGCAAGCTGTGGACTGGGGGGTGCTGGCCCAGCTGAAGGTAGAGGGAAAGGAATCAAGAACAATGAGGTTAAATGAATGTAAGCTTATGGGAAACAGAATACATACACACCCCAGCCCCCTTTCCACAGCTCTCAGAACACTGCCAGCCAAGCCTTTACCCTCAGGCCAGGAAATGCAACAACCACTAGCCCAAGAGGAAAGACCTAACAATTCTGGCATTGGAGGCCACCTCAACAAAACAACTAAGCTAAATTCCCCCGTAATAAGCCCCATGTCAACAAGGCTCACCCCCTACTCAGGTCTTTAGTCAGCTACTTGTAAGAAGACAATGATTATCAGACATCTGAGCAAAACCCTTAACATTGAAAGATGGGAAATCAAATGGGAAAAAAGAGGATGCAAGGAGAATAAAATGTCAAAAAAGATCCAACATCAGTATCAAGAAGCGCTATATAAATTACATGCTGAAAAAATTTAAAAAATAATAATAATCCTCAAGAAGAAAAAAATATTACATCCTTAAGACAGGATGCTATTTTTTAAAAAGCTCCTTGGAAAATAAAAGTTTTAGTGGAAATGAAAACGTCAATTGAAAGGTTGAAAAATAAAGTTGAGGGAATCTCCCAAAGTGAACAAAAAGACCAAGAAACCAAAAATAGAACAATAAAAAAAAAGTAAATTATAGAAGACCAGACAAGTAAGTCTAATATCTAAAATCCAGGAGTTCTCAGAAAGGACAGAAAAAAAAAATCAGAAAAAAGACCATCTTCAATAGAACCATTCATGAAAGCTTCTTAAAACTGAACCACATGAGTTTTCCAGACTGAAAAGATCCACAGATCCACCAAGTGCTTAGCCCAGTGGGTAAAAATTGACCCACACCAAGGCACATCCTGAAATTTTTTCACATCAAAGAAGACAAAGAGATCACAAGACTAGGTCACATATAAAAGACCAGGAATCAAAATGGCTTCAGACTTCTCAACAGCCAAACTGGAAGACTGTAATGCAATGTCTTTGCCAAACTGGAAGACCATAGTGCAGGGTCTTTGAAAATTATTTCTATCCTAGAATCGTATTCCCAGCCAATAATCACTTTAGTGTGATAACAGAATAAAGAAACGTTCAGACGTGGAAGGTCCCAGAAATTTTATTTCCCATGTGCTTTGTCCCAGGAAGCTACTGGAGGAGATGCTCTAACAAAATAAGGGAGAAAAACAAGAAAGAAGACATGGAATACAGAAAACCAGAATAGGGCCGGGCGCGGTGGCTCACGCCTGTAATCCCAGCACTTTGGGAGGCCGAGGTCAGGAGTTCGAGACCAGTCTGGCCAACATAGTGAAACTCTGTCTCTACTAAAAATACAAAAAATTAGCCACACGTGGTAGTGTGCGCCTGTAAGCCTAGCTACTCGGGAGGCTGAGGCAGGAGAATTGTGTGAACCCAGGAGGCAGAGGTTGCAGTGAGCCAAGATTGCGCCACTGCACTCCAGCCTGGGCAACAGAACAAGACTGTTTCCAAAAACAAAAAAAGAAAAAGAAAACCAGAAGAATGCCCAACACGACGGTTAGATGTTCAAAAAGTGGCAAGACATGAGCATGCAGCCTCTTGTTCACTGGACCCTAAGTACTGACTGGCCAGTGACCTCTTACCTGGTCCATCTTCTGGCTAAACTCCTGCAGTCTCTCTTTCTGGCAAGGACTGGAACTGTCACCCAGTGTGAAAGGATTTTTGGTCACCTGCAATAAATGATATCCAAATTGTGTGAATACTGGCTTTATATTTGTTAGGCCTGACCATAAACTACGCAGGGGGTGGCAGTGGGTGCCCAGTCAGGGAAACTTGGTTTCCATTTAGACCACACCACCTTTCTAACCAAGGCAGTCGCTACTAGGAGTCTATGGGATAATGTGCCAAGATAATAAAACTAGCAATGTAAAACAAAAATCGAAACGTTCTTAGGATATGATCTCTAATACTAATTTGGAAAAGAAATGCAAAGAAAAAGTACAATTTACAAATACAAAATGCCCAACAGAGAATCAAGTGAAATAATTCGTCAAGAAGATAAATATTTGGGCTAAGTCAACACATGTATGTTTTTTATGTTGGGAAGTTTTAGGTGCTTAGAAGGACCCTCATCACCTAACTTTCCAGTAAAATAAATGACTTCTCCAAGATCACAAAATAACTATGAAGTCCCAAAGTTAGGCCTGGAATTTCCATTCAACATTTCCCATAAACTTATCTTCACAATCCAAAATAATATTTGTCTCTTCACAATCCAAAATAATATTTAAGTCTCTTAAACCAGCTATAAGGCAAAGAAACCCACAGTTACCACCACTAAGAACTAGGATGTTTGAAGTCTTCCAGTCCTTTTTCACACAGCCAAATTGCTCAAAGGTGGTTTACACACTACTAAGGTGACTCACCAGTTCTCGGATGTCTTTCAGCAGCCCTTCCAGGGTGGTGAACTTGCCCCCAAGGACAGCCATTCCCAGTTCAAATTCTAGCTCTGGGATTTCCACACTGCAAGTCTCAGACTGTGAGATGAGAGGTCAGTTTTAAGCTTTAAGTCAGAAGCAAAGAAAGCCAACCAGAGGCCTCCTGCTCAATTAATACCAGTAGTGATAGACTGGGGACAAGGGCAGCTGTCCCAGTTTTCTCTGACTCCCTTGTTAAAGCTTGAGACTCACTCCTGTCCATCTGAACCACGGGAATGGATCCAACTTAATAAAGGGAAACTCAGTCATAGCTTCAAGCTGTCGGGTATCCTGTCATTAGGGGACAGAGAAGAGGACCCAGAGAAACACTGGAGGCCAAAAAGCTACCCAGTCATCAGAAAGAGCTAACAGGTCACCTTCTACATCTGCAATTCCAACCTTGGATTAATCCCCTCTGCTCAGGGGTCCTCAAAGCCAGGGAAGTAGGAGATGCCTCATGGCCCTGAACATTATTCCTAAAAGACAGCTTCACCTAGATAGAGACAGCTTATCTAACCTAGGAGGAGGACACTGACTTTCCCAAGCTGACTGTTACCTTGAGGAGGTCTCTGGTCATATCTGAGGGATCTGTGATGTGGAGGGTGATCCTGGTGCCCAAGGGTTCTACTGCTCCTCCAGATTTCACCTGCATAGATAACAGTCAGGAGCAACAGAGAGAAGACCTGAGCCTATCTTGGTACCCAGGAGACGTGGAGTGTAGGCTTGGACCTCCAATCAGTTAGGCCCACTAATAGCTACCAAAGAGAGAGCCTTCTAAACAGCAGTCACCCAAACCAAAAACACCAAGAGCTGGCCAGGAGCAGTGCCCAACCCTGGTAACATGCCAAAACCTCTCCCAAACTGCCAACAAACTCTGAATTTACCTTTAAAAAAACCTGACTCTTGGGGTTGAAAGAGACTTTTAAGCATTTATTGCAGTCCTTTCATCCACTGCATCCAATGTGTGTCTCCTTTATAATATTCTGGTTAAAGAACTGAATTAGCTTATACTCAGATACACTCAGGAGAAGGGAATTTATAATTCTCCAAGGCAGCTCATTCTATTTTCAGACAGCTCTATTGGGTTCTTCATTGTGAAGTCTTAAGTCTGCCTCCCTGAACTTCCACACCTCTGAGGAGTGGGTCAAAAGACTTCTCTCTTATATCATCAACCTTTAATATGTCTTAAACAAGTTATAGAATCTCTAACTTTTCTTTTCTAGGCTACTTCCCGTTCCTTCAAGGGCTCCTTACCCTACACTAGACCTAAGAAAAAGACCCAAGCTGCTCTACACCCCCTGCCCCCAAGTCCTGAAGTATTTAGGAAGAATGATAGTTAAAAGGGGGTTAACCTTAAGCTAGTCTTCTTCCCAAATAATGGTGCCCACCCACCTCATTGGTCCGATGCCCACAGTTCTCGCAGTTGGTAGCCATGATGATAACCTCCTTAAAGTGAGGGATTTCTGGAAAACGGAGTTAAGGAAATCACGTCCAGGTGAACAGGACCACCATCTGGGGAAAAACAAAGCCAACCCCACACAAACATGTACTGGTCCCAGAACTGCAGGAAATATTCACAAGAGGCAGCCACAGAGTGCTCCAGAAGAGGGCAAGTTCCCAACCCATGGCGATCCCTGTTCACACATTTGAAGGCATGGCTCAGACCACATACACACAGTCTAGTGACCATGGCCTAATTTTCTCTTTGAACACAAAACCCAAGGTACACAGTCTCATCAAAGATAATATCCTCCTTATCACTGGGTATAACGCATGTGCTTTTCTTGAAAGGGATGCTCCCAGCCTAATTATAATCTTCATGCCTGAGTCAGAGGAAGAGCAACCCAACTGCTTGGCAAAAGATACGTACTAGCTTCATGTTGGTCTGAGCGGGGGCATTGCATTCTGGGCAGTTTGTGTTGAACTGGAGCACCTGGAACACAACATGGGGACAAAGGGTGAGCCCTCCCCGATGGGATGTTCAGGCTAAAGACACTCAGTTGGTATGCTGGTGGTCATCTATGTTGGTGACAAGGAAGACAGATGCTGAACAGCATCAGTCTCAGCCCACAGCTCTGCTCCTTCCTCACCAGTAGCCAATGTGACTCACTTCATTTCTGAGATCTTCCTCTTCTGGCTTCTCTGCTGGTGCTTCTTCCTAAAATAGCAAAGATGCACATCGCAAGTTGGCAGGTATAACTCAGTGTCCCCAACACTCTGCCCTGGAGTGGGAGAAAATGGTCTGGCTCACTTATGTCAGATGCCACCTCATCAGTTAGAGAAACTACAAAGTAAAGCCCCAGCCAAGGGAAGAACAGGGCTTAAGATAGGATCACAGCCACTGCCGTCCTTTCTGTGAAGTTTACCCAAGTCCTGGACATGAGCAAGATGAGAAGCACAAACAAGCTGAGATAGGGCACACAGAGCAGCAGCAGCAAAATAAGTTCCACTGACTCCAAGCAATCCAGAGTGTGCAGTAATTCCAAAGCATTCTTCTGGATCCTTTAGTCCACTTACTTGGAGCCCCAGCATCTCTTCCTGATGTCGGGTCCGGTTGTAGTGTGTGATCACCAGGGCATCATCTTTCTGAGGAGCATGTGGGTTTTCCACAAAGCTGTTCCCTGAGGGATCATCAATGATCTAACAAATGGGTGAAGAGAGAGTCATTGCAAAAGGAAATCATAAACAATCCTACATCACCTCCTATCAGACCACTCAGGCACCACAGTGGAAAATCCCAGCAGTCTTAATAGTCCCTCCTCCCCTAATCAAGGGCAACTCCAGTCTCTCAATACTCACCAGAGTGAAAGGGGAGGCTACTTGCTTTAGCTCCTTCAGTTTGACAATGAACTCATCAATTCTTTCAGCTGTAGCATCTTTGTTTGCCTGCCGTGAACAGAGAGTAAAGCATCAGCCCTGGTGGTGTACTTATGCCCTGCTCCTTGTCATGCCCATGTTACTTCCATTAGGAAGTCACCACCTGTCTCAGTGTGAGTGGAAACTTCAGGCTTCATAATGAGATGTAGCAAACAAGCCTGAAGTTGACGGGTGGTGACAGGCAAGCCTCATTTTTCTCACTCATTCAACCATTTAGCCCAGCCACTCATGCCATGTTAGAGATATAATAGTAAATATATCAGTCCTCTCATGGGACTCCCCAGTCAATTAAGGAGACAAATAACTAAAGATGCAGTTATAGTATATTACTTGTCATAATAAATATAAGAATGCAACAGAATACTCAGGAAACACAGATAACCCAAGGGGATTAGGAAAAGCTCTTCAGAGGTAACGTTATATCGTCTGTCTGATGAGGCCTGAATATATACTGAGATAGGGAAGTGGAAAAGACAATAATTACAACATATGCAACATCCTAGCAGCTCCAGCACCACCATATGCTTACCCAAAAAGTTTCCAAAATTTAGTCAGAGACTATTCAGACACATGGGACACTCTATAGTCAGACACATATAAGCAATTATTCCTTGAGCGGCTACAATCAGAAAACCCCAGCTTACCCTTCGTGCAGGCTGGTCCTGCTCCAGGCCAGAGATAGCACGGGTGATCAATCCTTCAACAGTGGTCAGAGCTTGTGAACAACAACAAAAGACAAGTGTGACTTAGCCTTAGCTCTGCTATCAAGTGCCTGTATGACCCTGGGCAATTCACTTGAACTCTCTGGGTCTTAATTTCCTCATCCATAAAATGAGAAGGCCAGGTGCAAGGTTCCATTCATGTCTGACAACAGTGATGCTAAAATTCTATAATAAACACACTATGGTATTACCATTACTTTCTACCATCTCGAGCTGTTTGACCTAAGCTTTCTACTCATGATAAACCAATGAAAATCACAATGATTACATGGTAGAACCCATACACAAACCATTAGACCTGGCACCAGGGGGTTTGCAAGAAAGAGGGTAAGATTCTGGCTATATGTGAACAACCCAAATACTCTGATATTAAACTTACCTCCTTTCTGGCTAAAGGCAGGAATTTCAAAATCTAGCTCAGGAATCCTTGTGGTAGCAGAGTCAGTCTTCACCACTTCTCTATTCATGTCCTGGGCAGAAAGGAATACGTTCAGTACAAAGAGGCTGCAGAACAGCTTCTCCTCAAGTAATAACCAGACTGTCCCCTTTCCATCAGACCCCAGCCCAGCTGTCTCTCCTTCTCACCACTCCACAGGGTCCAGACTGCTCCTTTCAAATAGTACAGGTGGTGTGAGCCAGGCTGTACAAATGGTGAGAATACTATTCATAACAACTACTGCTCATTTCATACGCTCAGACATTTACGAAGCATTTTCACAAATCTTATCTCACTTGAGCTGATGACAACACCAGTACCATTTTACAAAAGAAACTAAGGCTAGGAGACATAGGGGGATTTATTTAAGATCAGACCGCCTGGACCAGAGCTCTGACCCCAGTCCCCAATCTCCCTCTAGAATACTGAGGTACCTGCTCCAAGGTCCTCTCACCTCTGGAGCCCTGACGGTCAAAGTGTATCGTACTCCCTGGTCCTGGACCCTGCCTGCCGACTGGATTTCCGTGTTGTTCCAGCCACAGTGCTCGCAGGAAAAGGAGCTCACGATTATTTCTCTGAAGAAGGGAATCTTCGTGAGCAGGAGGCGCGTCATGCCCTGGTGAAGCAGAAAGCAGCGAAGGAAAAAAAAAATCAATGAAACTCCTGTTCCCCGCCCTACTATCTCCGGGTGCGTCTCGGGGTCCCCAGCAAGGCCCACCTGGCTGGGTCCAACCCCCGGCTCGTCCCGGCCCAAGCCCTACACCCCCGCCTCACATTGCAGTAACAGTTCATGCATAGCGATTCGATCTCGGTGGGCTGCTGCTCCTCGTCCTCGGCGCTGATGGGCCGGAACAAGTGATCAGGGGCAGGCGGCGGGGCCAGGGCGGGCGAGGGGGCGACAGCAGCCCCCGGGGGCCCCGGTTCCACAGCCCCGCTCGCCGCCATGGCCACCACGCGCAATTTGGACCTCTGCTTCCGACTTCCGCCGCTCTAGCGGCCCCACCCCTACCGTCACTTCCGCCAGCTGCCACCACCCCCGCCTCCCTTCTTAAAGAGTCCGCAGACTCCGGGCCTTCGGGGAACAATGTCGTCAAAGGCTCCGGGTTCCCAGGTTTATATGGCTCGAACCTTCCATCGCCAGCCAGATCCACCTCAACTCAGCCGTCACTTCCCCCAAGACGTCCTCTTAGAACCAGGGTAGTTTTTTGCTCCTTCACAATAGCTCCACCGCACCGGGTTCTATTGGTCCCTATGTCGGTAGAGCCTTGAGGACAAGGGGCCGCGACTTGTCCCTGGGGAATCCCTGAGACGGTGCGCCCGGAGCCGGGATGCTTGGTTCCAGTGTTGGGCCACATGCTGCTTGCGTGCTAGGTCCCCCCTCCAGGTGGCTCAGCTTTTTCCCCTCTCTCAATCCCTGAAGCCGGCTGTCCTTTTCTGTCCTTCCCACTCCCTATTCTGTCCTCATCACTACCTTCCCCAATCCCAGCCTCAAGTACACAGCCCTCATTTTCACTCCCACCTCCTCCCATCCCCACCATAGCCCACCCCCTTGACCTATGCTTTTCCAGTTTCCTAACAACAACAAAAACACCTTTTATTATTTCTACCTTTCTAGCACTTCTTCTCTCCAGGTGCTGGATCCACAACCCAGTTCTGTTGCCAACATTGTCAACATCCAGGGTGTCAGGGAAGACCAGCCTGCAGGCATGATGAGCCTACATATGTGTGGGGTCTGTGCTACCGGGTTGGGGAACAGGCAGGTGCTGAGAACCCTGGGACAGTAGGCTGAACTGGGAGGAAAGGGGGCCGGACAGGGCAGTCCAAAGACAAGAGACTGTGTTTACCCTTTCCACTTCCTCCACCACACCGCAGTTTCAGTTCCCAGGGGATCTATAGGGAGCATTGGTGCTGCTGAGTGAAAGAGTTTGAGAGTCCCAAGAAGAGAGTCCAGCATAAAAAGAGGCCATTTAAACTCTAGAACAGCAGGAACAAAGGAAGCAGGCAACCCACCTCAGGAATTTCAGGTCCCCCAGGGCACAGGTCTTCCAGACACAGCCTGCATTCCATGCACACTGTCCTGTGGGGAGCAGGCTAGTGAACAGTACAGGTTCGGAGGAAGGGTCCGTAACTCAGGCCCTCCCACCAGGTGTGACAGACAGCATTGTCTAGCCAGGATCCCTGAAGCAGAGCCCAGTCAGAACCCCTTTGACAGACCTGGACTGGGAGGGGGTCGATGAGAAAGAGCAGCAAGGAAATGGAGTGGGTGATGGGTATGCTTTGGGGAGAGTGGTGAGGCCACTGCTTTCAGACATGGTCCAAATGAGAGTCACACCAGGCAAACTTCTATCATAAACATCTATTTCATTTGAGCCAGAAGTCTAGGCTTCAGCTTGGGAGTCCAGAGGGAGGGGCTGGAGATGGGGAGAGCACACATTATGCTCCCCAGAGGGTTTAAGGAGCTCCCACAGTTTGGAGGGTTCAGCCCCTTATTTAGGTGTAGAGCTATGTCAGGAAACATGGGCTCTGCCCTCTCCTATCACGGCCCCCACTTTTCATACCCACCAGCATCAGAGCCAGCAGGGATATTCACACACCATCACATGTTGTCCCCATGATATTCTCCTCTTTCTCCCTTCTATTCCCCTGATAGATGCCATGGCAGCCCTGGGGAGACAAGTGCTCCTCTCTGTGGACCAGCTGTAGCAGTGGCCACCAGGCAGCCAGAAGTGACCAGAGCCAAACTCCAGGACGTAGTGGCACAGGCTTCCAGCATCACAGCAAACAGGCTTGCAGATAATCACCCACATGCATGGTGCCTCTCCCGCCCTACTCCCTCACCCTTGAATGGAACAACTCATGAGCATTCCCAAATGAGCACTGGAAGGCTGGGTTTGCAAAGCCTGGTGAGTGTAATGCATCCAGATGGGGGAGCCGCAGGAGGCTGGATATGCAGGAGACAGCAGCCCCTTTGGTGGCCTCCCTGTCCTGCACAGGACCTTCCGCCCTCCACCCAACAGGCTGCTTTCAAGGACTGAACCATGCTAGAGGCTCAGAGCCAGGGCTCCCCAGACAAGGAGCTGGGAATGGCCCTGGGCAGGTAGACCCTCAGGGCTCCCCCAGGTGGCTGTGGCCTTGGTCATGAAGGCTGTGAGTGATGTCTTCCCACAGGTCATCCAGACGGGCCTGCAGCTTGCTCAGAACCTTGCCACTGTCCGTTTGTTGAAACTCTGGGGTGAAGGCGCTGTGGCCTGGTGGAGGTGGCGCCAGCTGCTGCTGGACTTCCTCAGTCTCCTGGTCGATGGCGCGAGTGAAGGCAGCGATCTGCAGGTAGGTGTCCTGGCGGAAAGCCTGGAGTCGCTGGCGCACCTCTTCGGAGAGCATCTGGGGATCCGGGCCGGCCCCCTCCTCAGTCCCAGTGCCTGCAAAGGCCCTGCTGAGCTCATCGCGCAGCTGGTCCAGGTTCTGCTGGATGCGTGTGTGCAGGGCCTTGGCCTTGAGCGTGAGCTTCCGGGAGAGCACCTGCACGCAGCGACTGAGGCGCGCGGGACTGGCTGGGGCGTGTGAAGCCACCCTGCGGTGCAGCTCCTGCACGTGGCGCCCGATGCCGCTCACCAGGCTCTCGGCGTACGGGTGGAAGAACTCTCTGAAGCGGCCAGTGTGGTTCACCACACGGCTCTGTAGTTCCTGCAGCAAAGCCCGCGCCTCGTCCACGCCCCCCAGCAGCTGGGCCTTGGTGTCTTCTCCCACCACGCGCAACTGCTCCTGCAGCTCCTGCACGCGCAGGGCCACCTGCTCCATCAGATCCATCGTGTAGGGCTTCAGTTGCTGCCTCAAGCCTTCCAAATTCCAGCCCACCAGCTCGTGCGCTTCTGCCATGTAGGGCTGGAGGCGCGCCTTCACCTCCTCCAACTCCTCCTGCAGCTGCTGCCGCATGCCCGCCGGGTCCTGTGGGAACCGAGGAGCCTCGCTGCCACTCAGAGGCCTGAGCTTTTCCAGGAACTTGTTCATATTGTTGAGGTCTTGCTCAAGGCTGTCTTTCAGGCTCCTGGGGAAGGGGACAGATATCCAGGTCATCAGACTGCTAGCCCCCATCATCTCCTTTATCCCCAAGTCATCGGTCACTGATCCTCTGGGGGAACCAAGGACTCAGGGCGTTGGCCCCAGAGTCGAGGGCTCTTGTCCTAACCCTGGCCAGTCACAACTCCTCACGCACGAAGCACAAACACATCGCACATGCAAATCCAGACCTACAACACTCTCCAAATAAACACGGATGCGCCACATCATCCTTTGATTCTGGGGACTGCAGCGGGCGTCTTCCCGGTTGATCCCAAGTCCCGCGCCTCAGTGGGCAATGGGGCAACAGCTATGGAGTTGTCAAGGTGGGGGCTGCAGACAGAGGGCGCTGAAGAGCCCAGGATGGCCGGGATCTGCGGGCAGAGCTAGCACCGCTCCTTTCCTCTGTCCCAGCAGCGGCCACCGAGGTTGAGGCAGCAGAGGCAGGGCATCATGGCATGGCCCAGCTGTCTCCTCCCTTCGCCTACTCCCCTTCCCCTGGGCACTCACGCGGGCTCACGGGCCATCTTCTGCTGATGGATCTGCTCCACCCTGCCTTTGTCCCCGCTTGTCTGACTGAAGTAGTCCCAGAAGCCTTTCCGTGCCTGGGTGGCCGAAAACGCTGCAGAGAGGGACTAGGTAATCAGGGCCTGGGCTCTCCTCCCCAGGGTGGACAGGGCCCTCAGGCCAGCCTCCACCCACACCCCCACGTTGAAGTCAGGGTCGGAGACCCACCTGAAAGAAGAGCCAGAGCCCAGGTGAGCACGGCAGCCATGCTTGCCATTATCTGCTCTGAGAAGACAGGTGGAGGGAGGCCTGGTTAGGGGAAGAAGCAGAGGAAGGGACATGGTGCAGGTGACTTGCCCAGGGGACCTCTCCAGGGGCAACTGCCCGAAATCCTGTTAACCCTTCCTTGGGCTGGGGAGTACAGAGCTGTTGGGGCTCAAGAGGACTGACCTAGGTGAGTCAAGGAGGCTGGGGTGTCTTCCTCAGACATGGGGAGAGGGCGTGCCCCTGCCACCTCAGTCACGTAGCAGGGAGCGTGCTGCTCTAACCCCTTTGCAAAGGTCCCAGACCCCAGGAGCAGCTCCCTAGGCCACTTCTACCACCTCTCGCCTGCCCACCTGTCTCCCTCCCTCCCATTTCATGGTGGGAAACACTGAGCCATAACGAGGGCAAAGATACAACTCTGCCAAAGTGTTCTAAGAGGACGTCTTAGGGGCCACCCCAGGCTCGCCCCTGAGGCCACCTGTGATACCCTCCCTTAGGACTGCGACCCCCATCCCTCTGCCCCAGCTGCTCACCTGCTCACATCTGGGCACAGAGAGCAGACATTCTGCTTTATACTCCAGGGCCCTGAGCCTCTGGCACCAATTGCTCTGAGTAAATACCACGTGGAAGTTCAAAAGAAGTTGACCTCAGCTGCCTCCCAGCACTCACCTCCTGCCTTTTCCCTGGCACCCAGAGGGTTAATGAGTGCCCTGGTATCAGGGGCTACCCCAGTAGAGAAGTGCTTCCCAGAAGCTTTACTGGGAATGGGTCTGAACTCCTCACCCAGTTTCCCCCAAACCCCATGACCTTTAACCTTCCCACTGACCTGCTGGCTGGCCCACCAATAGAGAAGAACCTGTATGTCTGCCAAGGGCCCCTCTCTTACACAACTACCCAGAGGCACTGTGTCCCAGCTGGCAAGATGGACAGTGTTCAGCTGCCAGCCAGAACCTGAGCAGCCCCTGACAGCTCCACTACAGGCTCCTCAGGCATCCTGGGGAGAGCTGGCATTCACAGGGTTAAAGACCCAACCACATCCCTCTTTGTGAAATAATCCTGGAACAAGCAAGGGAAGCCAGGCAGGGTGAAGATGAGATGGCAAGAGACATCTGGGCCAGGGACTCTGAGCCCCAGGAACTGGAGTGAAAGTAGGATTTGCCC